AAAGCTGCTGTAATCCGTGTGGTGTCCCATGGGTGTGAGGGCTGTGTGCAGCAGGAGGCTCTGTGGAGAGGATTCCCCCGTTGAAATGGAGCTTTCTAGCCCCAGAGATCTGCACGTGTCAGGTCTGTGCAAAACTAAGGCTGATATGATACAGGGGGTGTTTTACAGGGCTTTTTACTTTCAGACACTTGCACAGCACAAGCCTTTCCTTATAACAGAACCTGCCCCATCTAAGAAAAAAACAGGGTTTCCATTTGACAGTCTAAAACGTTAGCTTGGATACACAGGTGAAACTCAGCTGTCACACCTCTGAGGAGGTGAAGGCTCCTTGATTCAGTCATAGTGTCTTGTCTTTAGCCAAAAGCTGTTTTCTGCAGAGCCCGAGGAATAGATAATGGCCTGAGGCTGGGGGTACTGTATGATTGGTTTTTTGTGTCTTCATTCTAAATTCATACTGCAGAAATCTGCTCATGCTAAAGCTGTGATTTATTCTAGGTTTAGGTGTTTCAATGGATATGTGGAACTTCTTCTATACTTGCCTGGTGTCCTTATGGCTGCACAGATATTACATCTATTCTACTGCTGCTTTGGGGCTCAGCATTTGGATTGTCATTCAGTTGACCACCACCAGAACCAAAAAGAAGGTAACTGGAGATGTAAGCACGTTTGTCTGAGAAGAGCCCAAATCCGTGTGTGGAAGCGAGTAGTTGCTGGGTAAAGGAGCCCACTGGTTCAGAGGGATGTGCTGCTTTGCTGTGGACTCACTTAGGTTGTTGCAAATACCAAATGTAATTTAGTTCATCTGACAGTTATCATCTGCAGTCTGGACTGCTTTATGCTTGTGGGTAACTGAACACCCTTGCTGCTCTGATGTTAGAGCAGATCTCAGCTCAGCACTTCTCACTTTGTTACTGAGAGAATGTATAAGCCTGGGTTGCTCTGTCCCTTGAAATAAACCACTCTACTTGTGCCCAGTGTTTTCATGTTTGTGTTTCCAGGGATGTTAATGACAAGGTTGGACTGGTTTTAGGATGGGAGTGGGATTAGGTCATGCAGGAACTGAAAACCCACTCGTGCAGGTGAGTGAAGTCCTGATGCATGAGCTGGGAGGTTCTTGCGTTCAGCTGGATCCTGTTCTCTCCCTGGAGATGACTCTTGTATCGTGGCCTGGTTCAAAGAGTTACCTGTGTGTTCCTCTAAGGGTGAGAAGCTAAAATACTTTGTCTGTTGCATTTGTGTAATGCTGAGAGTCTGGTCAACAGGATTTGAGTTCTAAATGCTTTTGGGAAAATGGGCTTAACATCTCTTTGAAAAAGGATTGAATGTGATGTGATACTTGTTTCCTAGGGTGAAAAATCCCATGGGAATCCTGCAGCTTCTGAAGAAGACAAACTAGTAAATGGACATGCCACCTTGCAGGCAAAAGAGATCTATGTTGCCGGGGTAAAGATTTTCTATGGGTCTCAGACTGGCACGGCAAAGGTATGAGTTACTTTTTTCACATACATGAAGTTGATTTGAAATATTGTTGAGATTTAAGTACCTTTCTTGCCTTAGAAATGCTGCACTGTGTAAAAATTATGGAAGTGCATCAGAAAGTTCATTAGCTTATTAGAAGTCATTGCCCAGCATGAAAGATAAGTGAAAATTATATGACAATAACAATTCTTCTACTCCCTTGAAGTGAGGCATGCGATAGAAACATTGATTATGAAGTGTGAAGTTTACTCTTACAGTATACTCTTTGATTTGCTAGTAGGCCTTCTAGAGAGGAGTGCTCTTCTAGGTGTTTTCTCAAAGAAATTTGTTTTGTGTTTGCAAATGTAAAATTGTTAGTCATTAAAATTCATGTTAGTCTGTTTTTAGCCAGTATGCTTTACTTTTAAAACTTGTAGTGAAATTATTATTAATAAAGTCCAGTGTCCGGTTCTCTTGTGACTGGACATAGCAGCGCTTGTTTGACCCTTACGATAGTTGTGTTGAAGTGATTGATAATTTTCTAATTTCTTATCCCAGAGATTTGCCAAAAGTCTTGCTGAAGCAGTTGTTGCCCTTAATTTGCCTGTGGAAGTCATTAGCATGGGAGACTGTGATCCAGATGATTGTCTATCAGAAGAGGTAGGTATGTCAGAAATACGAATCACAGATACAAGTCTCTTCTGGGAAGGTGAAGGCTGTTTTCCTCTTGTATCTCTCTGCTGTTACCCTGGAAATCCCCAAAGCTGTGTGTGGAAAATTGCTTCCTTTCTATGTAAGCAAGTATAGCCCATCGAACCTCAGCAGAGAAGACCTAAATTTTAGAAGTTCCTAGGAAAGCATCATGTAGAATATTTTGATGCTGAGAGTGACTTTCTATTTGCCAGTTCTATAGCTCAGCTGTGAGTTATGTGAGAGTGACAGCACCAGGTCCCCCTGTTCTGTCTCTGACAGTGTACACTTGGGAAGGGTTTAAACCAGAAGTAGGTGTGATGCTTCTGCAGCCTTCATAAAGTTAGAAACTTCTTGTGAGGTGTACTTATAATGAATAATCCTTGATGGATTTTTCTCCTGTAAATATTGATAGCTGCTTTTTGAATCCAGGGGGAACTTTACTGCTGCAACAGTCTGTTCAAGAAGCTGTTGATTGGGGTGGGGAGGGTAGGTGTCTGGTTCTGTTTTACCATTGTCTCTCTTAAGTATGGGAATGACAGCTTGGTGTCTGGGCTAATTTCAGACGGTTTTGCAGGGAGGATGGCCTTTTCCCACTGTCAGGATTATCACCTGCAGCATCCCACACCAAAGGCTATTAACCCACTTAGCAAAAATCTCACCTTTGGACTTCCTCCAACTGCCCATGTATTACAGCTCTCTTCCTGGTGTAACATGTTCTGAAACAGTGATCTATTCTGTCCTGTTTCTATTCTTAGACAAGCAGCAGGAACATCTGTGTGTTCTTGGTAGCTACATACACAGATGGACAGCCAACCGAGAGCGCAGCGTGGTTCTGCAAGTGGTTAGAAGAGGCTGCGAATGATTTCCGCTTTGGGAACATGTACCTGAGAGGCCTGAGATACGCTGTGTTTGGCTTGGGAAACTCAGTTTATGTTGATCATTACAACACGGTAAGTATCTCCTGTGCACCTGCCTTTGAGTTCTCCTGGGAAAGGCTGAGCTTTCTTAAATGCTGCAAAACCGAATGATGCTGTTAGTTTGTGTGAGAATTGCAGCTGTTGGGCAGAGTTGATTAGGGACTGGGTTTAGGGCATGAGAAATGCGACTTTGAAGCGATTGTGCTTCCTTTTCGTATGGGAGAGGAGTCCCATAAGCATTGTGTTAATCTGGGAGATGTGGTTGTGCATTTGGTAAACCCGTACCAAGTTAATTTCCCAGCTTTGAAAGCTTCCTGTTGGTGCAGGAGGGCACAGTGCTGTAAACCCTGTCACTTGCTGCACTTTCATTTAGAGCGCTTTTCTCAAGCTTAGGTACTTTGCTGTATTGTGTGGATTTTAGCTGTTTTTCCTGGTGTAAAAATGTGACAGTATCTTATCCTGGTAATTACTTTTATCTCAGTCAGAAAAATGGCATGACTTGTGGGCCCAGCTATACAAGCATAACCTGGTGACACAAAATGCGTTACGGTGTGGCCACTCTGACCAACAAGCATTGCCTAAAGCAGCTTGTTCCCAGAGCTCATCTCTTCCCACATCAGTGTGAGAGCAGAGGTTTCCACCTGGGAGCCTGAGGGGGTGTGGTGGTGTTCAGCCTGCCCTGTGTCTGTGCTCTGAGTCAGCAGGAGAGAGGACTCCCCAAGTCCCTGCCTTGCAGTCCTGTGCAGCTCACCAGCTCTATTTCCAGGCTTGGTCTGTGCTTTCTTAGTTGCCTGCTTTGTTCAACTTGGGCTCCATTTGATCTCCCTCTCATCCTCTTCTAGGTTGGAAGAAATATTGACAGGTGGCTGTGGATGCTCAGTGCCCGCCGTATCATGACTCGGGCCGAAGGGGACTGCAACGTGGCCCAGAGCAAGCATGGCAGCATCGAGGCTGACTTTGAAGCCTGGAAAGCCAAGTTCCTCAGTCGGCTCCAGATGCTCTGCAGAGGAGAAAAGAAGCCCTGTAGTGGGAAGTGCAAGAAAGGGAAGTGCAAATCTCTGGGGAAGCAGAGCAAGGAGAGCTCAGAACGTGAGCAGAGTGCGTCAGGATATGAGAATACTGAGGTAGATATCCATGGGACCTTATTTCTGGTTTAGTGCCCCTTGGAGCACTCTTTGACTTCTCTTTTTCCTCCTAAAGCCACGAGGGGTGCTGTGGGAGCTTGATAATTCTCTGTGCTGGAGCAGAGGGATGAGATCCCATGGCAGCTAACAAGTAGAATAAGCCATCCCAAAAGAGGGACCAAAAGACTTCCTGATGGACCTAGGCTAGTGGCATTTCTGTGATGAGGGAGCCTTCCTCTTGAGTAGGGGCAGGTGTATGTTGTGACAGATGCTCCAGGGAGTCAGTCTGGCTTCCCCTCAGTGTCTTTGTTTTGTTTCCTGGTCAAGTGAAACAGTTCCCTGTGAACAGTTAAGCTGTTTCCACTTCAGTTTGTTGAAGCTGAGGTGCTTTGCCTGTATCCTAGTGTTTTCCTAAAGGCGGTTGGGGAGGTGTTGTCTGAGCAAGTCCTGTATTTCCTCTGAATGTGTCTGCCTGTAATCACTAGTGTGTCTTCTGGAGTGTCTGATTAGAGGTTTTGAATAAGAAATCCTCTCTTCTGTTTTATGGTGCAAGACCCAGAGCTGCTGTGGCCTCCCTGCCAGCCATTTACTGTGGGTTGGAAGTGATTGCTATGGCCGTGTTGAATTTTGTAGGAAAACAGGAGCTGTTCTGGCTGAGTTGGTTTGAGAATTCTGGCTGCTGCAGGAGGAAGAGGAATCAGTCTTGCTCTTACACCAGTGCTGTTGTGCTGTACCTTGGCTGTGTACAGAAAGGGAGACCGCTGTTCTGTTCTGTGAAGAGTTTGACTTGGAGAGCAGATCTCTCCCTCCCTGTTGGTTCAGACAGGGGCACTTTGGGAGGAGTTCAAGGGGTTTAGGCTTCCAGATCCTCATCATACACAATGGGAGTTGGACTCTGTGTTGCTTCTCATGTGATCAGGTAGGCCCAGGAGGTGAACGGAGGGATCTGGAGGCAGGCTGTCTGGGCTGGGCTTCAGGTGGTCTGTGTGCTACTAAACTCTTAAATATACACACTGATAAAAGCCTCAGGTTTAAATGCATCTCATACATTATACAGGTTACTGGTAGACTGTTCCTTGTTTTTCAGTGGTCTTCAATGATTGTGGAAGCTGATTTCACCAGTTGGCATAGATAAGGTCTTAACATTCAGATACATTCCTGATTTATTTTTTTCTCTGATCTCTTACAGGCAGATGAGTTGTTTGAAACCAGTAGCGAGGAGGAGGCTGATGCTGAGGAAGCTGGAGGCACAAATTCTGTTGTTGATGTTGAAGATCTTGGCAATATCATGAGCCAGATGAAGAAAGCAAAGGTACTGCTGTTAGAGCGAGCATAGAACTGTCAGGTCTTTGTCAGTGATCAGTTGAGTTGATTAAAATATTACCTGCTCGATTTAAATCTGTAGGGTCTAATTAGAGGGAGAATAAAATATGAGCTGTTGGAGAATCCGTCCCAAAAAAGAGCATACTTGGAGGTATGTTGGATGTAGTTACCAGCTGACTGACTTGTTCACCCGGCAGGTGCTGCAGTGTAACCTGTTGTTTCCAGACAGAGGAGAAATTACTTTCTCAGCTAATGTTGAGATCTGAATGTATTTCTCTGCCACAGCAATTCACAGGCCAATGTCTAAACTCAAATCCTGATCCTGTATCTGCTCATGGGTCGGTCACCTGAAATGCTGGCGTGTGTTGTGCTCATGTGTCGTGACGGGGAGCAAAGCTGCAGGTGGAGTAGTAACACACTGCTGCAAGACCTTCTGTGTCTTGCTCACTGCTGCCCTAAGAGGAGGTGCTGTGCTTGCAGAGCAAGGCGGTGAGCTTGGCCTGGCTTGTGCTGAGCCTGTCAGCCAGCCATAATTCCTGCTTCGTTTCAGGGTGTTACTCTCTCTGTTCCTGTGCGGTTCTGTTCCTGTCTCTCTGTGCTCAGTCTGCAAACAGGCTGTATCAAACTTCTTTATTTGGTTAGCACACCCAAAGGAGTGAGGATATCAACAGCTACTAGGCTCAGCCTTAATGTGCTCCCCAAGCTGTTGGCAGTGGGCTGGGCCCCTGGGGGGACTGGGATGTACCCAGTTGCCATCTGCTGACTCTGTCTCCCCCTCAGCAACCTTTCCATGGTGGTGGCTTTCCTTGTGAGCCCTTGGGCTGCTCTCCATCCCCCTCTCAACAAGCTACCTCTGTCTGTAATTACACCTTCCTCATCCTGTGTGCCCCCACTGTGTGGGCTTCTCACAGCTCTTTTTCCTGAAACTGAACCATTTCCTCGGCGGTCTGAGCTGTGGGGCCACCCCGAGCCAGGCCTTGGGTCACAGGAGGCTGTGTGCTTAGGAGGGGAGGGGGCTACAAAGGGTGTGTGGGGATCTCTGTTCCTCACCCTAGGGACAGGGAAGGAGGTTATACACCTTCTGCTGCTTGTAACAAACTCAGAGCAGCCCCCTGCCATGGGGGCACAGCAGAGCTGTGTGAGAGCTCCTGTCCCTGTGCTTGCCCGGCTTCTGCACTGCAGCTTGCAAGAGGAGGAGGAATGAAGCATTTGGCTTTCCTTTGGAGGGCAGGACGAGTCTGTCTCCCTGTGTAACTTCGCTGTGTTCTCCTCCTCTCCTCCATGTGCTCACCACTGGAGGTCACTGACAAACAGGGAACTGCATCCCAGCCGCACGGGGATTTAGACTTGGGAGGGGAGGTAGTGTCCTCCAGCAATTTTATGAAAAATTAGGCATTGAGTTTTCACTGACTGACGAAATATGACAATACTATGATCAAAGGGTAGTGTAAACCAGGAAAACCATGTATCGTAGTCCGGTTGATGAATAAAGAGTGAGCACAGCAATAAAATACTCTATGCTGGTTGTTATGGTCCTGAGCACGGCTGAAGTTGGTGTGGTGTGGGTTCGTACGCAGGCAGTGACAGTCCATTGCTGTCTGTGACTTTGGCTGATGCGTCATTCAAACTCTCCTTTCTCCCCGCTCTGCTTGGGCAGCGAGAGGCCTGTGTGCTGCACGCACAAGTTACTGCAGCAGTACAAGTATCTCTGGGTGGATCAGGCTCTCGTGGCTCTGGACGAAGTTGCCGCTCTGATCCAAGGACAGCTTCTGTCTCAGCACAGATGCTCGTCTGGAGTTGGGAGCTGCAGTGTTTGATCTGCTGCCTTTTCCTCGGGGAGATGCCAAATAATTGGTCTGCTGTGACAGCTGAACGCTGCCCTCTTGCCTCTGCAAGGGGTTAAATCCCGAGAGTGCAGGTGTCGGTGTGGGACTGGCAGCCCACTCTTGGCTGTGTGGAAGTGTCCTGGCCCTTCTGGAGATGCGCTGCTGCCAGCCGATGAGACAGGAGGGCGCACGGCTGTGGGTCAGCCTTTCACTGCCACTGAGAGTACAGAACCGCCATTCAGGGGCCATGTCCCAGGTGCTTGACTTAATTTTGAAACCTTAGATGATGCCATTCTCATGCCTGGCCCCTCTATTCCTGTTCCGCAGGGCTGATCTGCCTGGCTGCAGTCTGGGTTTCTGGTTCCATGCTCCTTCCAGCAGACAGGGCACGGAGAAAGGGTCCTCAGCCATGACTGGGGTGTGACCTCTCAGCTCTCTCCAAGGGGGTGTCATTTCCAGAGGGGTGACAGGATACAGCTGTGTAAATATTTCCTGAGGGAGCCTGACCTGGTGGCTATCCCTGTCATTAGCTGGTAGATAGAATGACTTTGTCTTGGTGGTGAATCTTCTGGGGAATGTGCGCGCTGACGGGCAACAGGTTTATGCAAACACTTGAATTGTAAGATGATCTGTAGGTGCAGTTATTTACTATAACGGAAATAAATGCTGAAGATCTGATGTGAAAGACCAGGATGATCTGCATTTATGAAAGTAATTTATCCTGATCGGACTCTCTTGCTCCCAGGTGGGAAGATGTAGTTGTTTAAACCCAGTGCATCTTGGTTTAAGCCACACCCTCACTTTAGTGGCTATGAGTTTGTGCCATGAGAATTGTTCAGATGAGTTGTGTTGTCCCTTTAGCCACTTATTTTTTTTTTTTCTCCTGGGAGAATATTGAACTGCATAAAATTGGACTGACACTTTTGTTTTATGCTGATGTGATCTGTTGTCTTGCAGTAATTGCTACCAGCACAGGCAAGTGCTTTGGGTCTTAGTGTCTGAACTCTGCACACAGAAACTCGCAAGTTTGAGGAAAACTTGTGTGTTTCAGGGTTATGTCACAGACAGTCCTTCATACACAGAGTTACCTGGATTTGAAACGTACCTGACAGCTTTCAGCACGGGTTTTGCAGGTGTCAGTGTAACTCCTCTGCATGTGGGAGATGGAATAGCAGGTTCTGCCTTGTGCAATATAATCAGTTTGAACGATTCAGGGTCGAGCTTTGATCTTTTTTGCAGGCACGTGTTGCCTCTTGTGGGGATCACTAGCAGATGAGACAGATGTGCACTCACCGGTAGTCATAATTCCTCGTTGTCCTGCCTTTTATGGGATGGCAGAGGGAGTCTGTGGAGGTGAGTGTGTCTAATGAATGTTTGCTCCCATCTCTGCAGGTGATCTTAATTTAATTTTGCATCCATCTCCTGTTGCTTGATTTGATGGAAATCAAGGCTGAGTTTTGTTTTACAGCTTTTTTTTTTTTCCCATATGCTTCCACTTCCTTGTACAAAGTATTGCCAGAGGGCTTGAGACAGGTGCTGGATTCTTGCTGTCATTTGGATCAGGCAGATGGATTCAGCAGTTGAAGGTGAATGCCAGAACCTCTTCCTGGTAGAGCTGTAGCTATTAGATACTTTTCCTTGGAAGAAGAGATGGATTTTTAAAGAGCTTGTGAGGGTGAAGGGACACGGTTCGAGATGATGGTGGTGCCTTCTGAGCCCTGGATCTGAGCACAGGAATTGGCACCAGGAAATCATTCAGCTACCTGAAGGGATAGGTGATACAAAGGTAAATTCCTCTGTTTATTACCAAATGTCATACTGTGTGGTGAGGACTACTTCATAGCTGCTAAAATCCAGCCCTTTTTTTCAGAGTAAATTTTTGGAAGTTGCCACAGGTTCTATAGTTGCAGGTGATGCTTATTGGGGCTCAAAGATGGAGTTAAACCTTTCTGTGGGTGCAGATAATGCCTGTGAAGGGAATTGCTGGGCATGAGAGCCCACCAGTGTGATACAACCAGGGTGAAGGCGGGCAGGGAAGGTCTGAGGCTGCTTCTCTCAGGTGCCTGATGCTGTGGTGCCAGGCAGGGCTGGATGATGCACAGCCAGGTGGGTTAAAGTCTGGATTTCCTCTGGATTTACTCTTCCAGCTGCTTGTTTTCAGGCTGAGAACTTGGACCTGTTCTCCCCGGATTGCTTTTATGCAGCAAGAGAAGGCAATGGTTGTTCCTAGTGGATTTAATAACTGAGTGGACTTTTAAGTTTGACAATTGTGGCACACTTTCTCTGTCCTCCAGAGTTACTCCCCTGAAATGTATTTATCAGATAAAATGTGAAATCTAATGGGTATGTTTGTAGCCTGCAAGACTGCTATTAATCACAGGGACACCATTTCTTAATGTAGATTATCTCTCACAGCTGGGAGATTGTGATAAACTAGGAAAGAAAGATCAATCTCGACTTGTTCCCAGGGAATGAGATGGCTTTTATTAACCTTCATATTTATAAACTGCAGGCATGAGTAATAGTAATAATAATACCCTAATTTCTTTTGGATGGTTTGGGAAGTAATCAAATACGCATATTTTGTTGACACAATTTTGAGATGAATGTTCTTGTTTTCTAAAACAAAAAGTTTAATGATGCTGATAATTCCATTTGCAATGTAAATACAGGAGAGGGGTGTGTGTTTGAGAGAGCGAGCAAGAGTGAGACTGAGTTGACAGGGAACAGAATGTGTCCCAGGGAGCATGTCCATTTGCCGCAGGAGGGGTTTCCTGGTCCCCTCTGGCACTCTTCCCGACGAAGTTGCCCTATGTTAGGTGTTGACCTCCACAAGGATTGTAAATCTCACCAATCACAATGTTTCTTGAGAGCCCTTTGTGAGCAGGTGACTGCTGGGTAAGACCAAACCTTTGCTGACAGAGGGTGGAGAAACATTTAACAAAGCTGGCTGGAGTTTTATTTGAAATGGGGCAACGAGTGTTAATGTATAAGGTATCTAAGGTATAAGGTTTACAGACAAAGTATGCAAGGATTGTCATCCTTATTTTAACCAAAATGAACAGGGCTGGGGCACTTCCCTGTCAGATTTAGAAACATCTGGAAGTGATGTGCACAGTCAGAGCTCTCTAAGAACTTCCTCTTAAATTTTAATGGATGAAAGATTCCTAGAGGAGAAACACACACTTATCTGCAAGAGCTCAGTGTCTAGGCTAGATTCTGACCTCTGCTACTCTGGCTCAGAATTCAGTGTGACCCTACATTTTAAAATAAGCTTTAAGAAATATCCTTTAACTGCTTGGGGACTACTTGTAACCTTAAAATCTGGATTTGTCACAGGGAAACTTCACCCTTTTCCTGTGTTCAAATCTTTCTTTGAAATTTGGCTATTGAAAAGGCATTATAGTTCATAAACAACATTACAAGAGATCTTGCGAATTCTATGTAAGACTTGGAAGTGCCCAATGAAAAAGAGAAAAAACAGAAAAAAATGAATTCAAAGGTAACCTCTAGCTGTACATTCTGCCTTTGATGTGTGGTACGGTACTGGCTTCCTTGATGTGCCATTATAAAGGGCTTTGTGACCCATGAATGAAGACTTGCTTTTGCCCTGGGTGGTAGATGCCATATCCCTTGCTGTTCTTAGCCTGTTGTAAATTAGTCAGTAAACAGGTAGTGAAGCAGAGCTGAGAGATACGAGAAATTCTGGAATTCTGAATTCCCCCCGAGTGTTGCGCTTCCTCTTTATTTGCAGCCTCCTCTTGGCCACATCTATTGTTGGAGATGATCAGGGCTGAGCCTGCAGCAGTCTAGCCCATCTGCCTGCTATTTCTCACTAAAGTTGTGCAGCGTTTCTCAGGTATGTTTCTCCTGTGCATTTTTTGAAGGTTCTTGCCAGGCACATAACACAGTTGAGCAGAAGTCCACAAATCAATGCACAGAGTAATTATCTGCTGATGGTAATTGTGGGAGAAGCATGGAGGAGGTGGCCTGTTGATGTCATTGCTGTATCCAAGGAGAGAGCAGCACCACGATGTCCTGTGGGAGTGCAGCATCTGTTGCTAAATAAAGATGTTGTTTGAATAAGGTGTTTTGGGGTGCAGTGAAGGTGTCCCTGTTCTGCCAGACAAACCCTGCAGGTTGGTCGTTCTACACGCAGCCTCCAGTCAAACCTCCCCATTTGCTGTGGCTGCCCAGTGCTCAGTGTGGTTTGTCGGTGGCTCTCAACTGCAGAAGCATCCACCCTCGCCTCGGTCGGTGGGCTGTCCCGGGGTGTGAGGGGCAGCACTGGTTACGGACCGTGGGAGCTGCTTTTTCTTTCCTGTTAGGAGATGAGCCACAATTTTGTTTTCTTTCCTGACACTTGGGCTGCCAAAGCAGGCAAATGCCGATCTTCCGTTGTTCATGTCAGAGCTGATATTCTGCCGTCCCTCTTCTGCTGTTGGCTGCAGAGGCCTGGCACAAGGTGGGATGGTGTTTTGCTGGGTGCTGTGGAAGTGCAGACGAGATGGAGCCTCTCTAAAAGCTTTCTCAGCACAAGAGCGTGGCGTAAGGGAATGGAAGGAGCATTATCTCAGCTCTGCAGAAGGAACTGGGTGATGTAACGTGGCATTAACCTGTTTTTGTATTTCACAGAGTACTTACACCTGTGGCAAACCACTATGGGAGTTTTTCCTGTCATAGCACAGTTAAACTTTGGCATGAGGAAATGATGTTCCTCTTGCCACTGGCCTGGCTGGAGCCTCAGTGCCAGCGGGTCATGGGAAGGCATCTGGGTCTGCATCTGTGCCTGCAAGTGCTCCCCGTGTTGGGGGTCCTTCTGACCCGGGTCACTGAGGCTGGGTCCCTGTGAGGGTCAGCGCTACCGGAACAACAGTGGGCTGGTGGTTTTTAAGAGGAGAGTTGTTATACATCTGCTGTAAACCAGCGTGCAGGAGACCCAGGTGTGAAGCACGAGGCTTTGCTGGAAAAGCAGCTTGTGTGGCTGTGTGTATGGAAGTGTGCTTTGTGTCCCTTGAGAAGGTGAAGCTCTGAGTCATTTCTGACTCTTCTTTGGCCTGTAATTTTGGGAAGTGGGGCTTGGGGTCCTGAGGGCCGTTCTGCAGGGCTCTTGGATATCTGTCTCAGTCTGGTTCCCTGAGGGACTGGTTTACATTATCTTACAGTCAATGAGGATTTATTATGGTAGAAACCAGGCAATTTCCTTCTGACTTTAATAACATATTCCTATGATAATCTTGTGGCCTCTCTCTCTAATAATTCTGCAGAGCTGGTTGATGTCTCTCACTGAATGGGCTACAGACCAGAACTGTTAATTTGGGTGCTCCCACTCTGGCAGAGGGCAGGTGGGGAAGGGGCAGATAGGGACTGTCCCACGCAGCTCTGCAGTTAGCACTGACTTCTGCTGGGGGTGAGCTTTGCCAAAATGGTCTTCCTGGGAAGACTAACCCAGGTGAGGAGTTGTTCTTGGGTCATTTGTGGTCCAGGGAGAAGTGTGTCTCTGTTCAATACTTTTCCTATTGCTTCATAACCTGTGCTAGTATTTTATGGTTAGTTGCTTTCTTGCATTACAGGAATTCTGAAGGTCACTGAAAGCTGAGGCATTTAGGAGAGGCAGCTGCTGCCTGTTGATGTCTGACTTGTGTCAGTGCACTGGATCCCTTTGTTTCTGTGGAAGGCATTCAGGGTTTCTAATGCAAAATTAGTAGTTAGATAGTCTGCAGTCCAGGCAGCTCAGTTGCTGACAAGGACTTTTCTACAATAGATACTGCTACTAGGAGATACACCTCTACCTGATACTAGCTCAGATTGACTGCAGTCGTCTTAAAAGCGTAGTAAACAATTGCAGAATTAAAATTCATCACGCTTTCTCTTTGTAATGTGTGCGTGGCATTCTGACCACTTGAAAGAACAGTGTTGAAATGAAATGCACTAAAAGGGCATTCCACTGTATGGAAAAGAAATGGAGTAGAGAAGTCTTTTTACAGAGCCACTTTTAAAAAACTGCACAATATTGCAAAACATGGTGAAAGAATGTGTGCTGCATTCTCTGTGTGTCAGAAAGAAGAGTAGTCTGAAGTGGAAAATCTTAATGGATTTAGGTGGGGCATTTCAGGACACTTGTTAAATCATGTTACCTAGATTTTAATTGTGATTATTCCTTTCTTCTGTGCTTACAATAAAGATGTGAATATATGGCCCAATTTTCAAATATAAGCTAGTTGCTTTCGGGTAGAGACAGACACATTTTAAGTTTTGATTCTTTTGTTTCCTTTGAAAATCAGTCGTCTTTATGGTGTGTTCAAAGAAGTTTCCCAAATCAAACAAATGTCGACAGAATCATGTAGCAGTATGTGAAATGGAGTTGTGGTTTAATAGCACCTTGTAAAAACCTTCCCTACAGCAGAGCAGTGATGTTATAGCTCACTGAAGCAAACTTAAACCCCACTGTAGCCCTGCGGATATGTTTTTACAGTTGCGATCTGGGAAGTTTTTTGTCCTTACGGATTCTGGATGATGATGAACTTACAAGAAAATGGATGTTGGTGGGATCGTTTGTCCTTCCGCATTTCACGGATGTGCAGTGCCAGTTCAGACTGATTCAGTTGGATAGCAGCATAAGTCTTCTCTGTCATTACTTGTCTGCATGAGTTTGGGTTTTACAATGCTGTTGTGTATGTCCAAAAATCTTAGCATTGACTTTTCATGCAAAAGAAAATGCAGAATTCTTTCTGTGGCAGCTGAGCTGCAGGTCTGAATAGCACCCTTTGTGTGGCAGCTAGTGCCTGCTGCCTCAGAATAACATGAGGAATCTTCTGTTATTCTACAGCATAGTAAAGTAGGTGTGGATGGAGACTTTCTTCCAGCTTGAGATGCACAAAGGTTTCTATTCCAGGAGGAAAAAAAATCTCACTTCCAAGTTGTGTGTTTTGGTGTAGGTTTTTTTTTTGTTGTTAATATCAGTCAGAACTTCTTGGGGTCTTTCCACGTTTTAGGGTCACTTCTTGAAAGTGTGTGTCATGGTTTTTGCTTTTGATCAAGCCATCTCCTATTTCAGTCATGGCAAGGTAGTGGTTTGTCAAGTTCCATGTCTCAGCTGTCATGCTTTCAACCTTTGTCTGCTTTTTGCTTCAGTTCAGGCTTTTGTGCTTTACTGGGCAATGATGTGTGGAGTGGGTATGTAGCCTGTGATTATGTAGACACTAGGAGTTATTTTTAATAAGATTTTCTTGCTGTCAGAGTGTTTGCTGGTTCACTGATTACTCAATCCAAGTTTCCAGGATTCGTCTTTGTGCTCACTTCAAATGCTCAAAGCCATTTTTATTGGTGACTGACAGCAGTTAGAGTATCCCGTGTTGCTGTGAGATTGGCAGGGTGTTTCATCCGTGGACTGAGCAAATTGCAGTTCTGTCTCTGTTTGTTACAGTTGGGTTGTGACAGCCTGAGCTTTGTACCTGGAGCAGGAAGGTTGCCACAGTGCACTCGCATTCTTCTGCTCCGCTTCTGTTGTGTTCAAGAGTACCTTTGTGGAAGCCTGTTCCCTGTCCCATTCTTTTTCCATGTGTTAGTCAGGACTTAGTCCTTGCTTTGTAAGGAAACAAGTGCTGTTCCTGTGAGCAGCCTGATGTCTATTCAATTTTCAAAAACACCCCATGTAGTTCTTGCCTATGGTGCCACTGACAGCTGAGCCTGAACTAGGGGAAGAGTTGTCAGCTTTCCTAGCTGTCCTCTTGCCACTGGAGTATTGCTTGCAGAGCTCTGCTTGGTGTGAACTTTGACTCTTCATTCATGTAACTCATGAACTTTTTTACTTCATTTAATGACTCCCATGGGAAAGTGTTACTAATATTTCTTGCTGCCAAGCAGTCTTTTCCTGATAGCCTTGCCAACATTTTTCCCTTAGTGCTGGTTCTGTTAGTCCTGGCTCCAGCCCCTGATGTATTACAGTTTTCAGATCCTGGAGCCTTTTGATGGATGAAACTGTAAATCATGACAAGACCAGGGGTTCCCTCTTGTTTAACCACTGTGAGGTTAAGTAGGAAAGAAATTTAGTCAAAACTGGGATATTTTGGGTGGTGTTGTCCTTCAGGGACTAAAACCTTCTGGGGAACGTGTTTGGGTTTTTTTTCCAGCCATAGCATATCAAGAAGTAGAGCCATGATGCTTAAAATGCTAAATTAATTTAGGGAATACTTCTTTGCATGGAATTTAGGTCTCTCTTTTTCAATTTTTTCACTCCTGCAATAGTAGTTTGAAGAGTGTTTGGTGTAATAAAATGGAAAACACAGGGAGATATCAGGCACATTGACCTCCTGGAGAGAACACTTCCAAGGGGAGAAGTGGCCATACATGGCCTGTTGGTTATATTTGGATGTGACTGTGGATGAGTTTGGTAGGGATGTTTGTAGGAAATCCTTTGAAACACTTGAACTGTTATTTGTCAAAATGATAGTGTGACACCTCTGCCTTAGCAGGGAATGCTGAGGTCCTTGCTTGTGTCTATGCCCTTGAGGTCCTATGCCCTGTGTCAGATACCATCTGCTCTTGACCCATCAAAAATGGGCTTCTGCCTGCCCAGAAAGTATGTGCTGCCTCTGCCTGTATGGCAGTAAAAGGCAAGAGATTTTTTTCTTTTTTGCTTCACCTGTAGAAGAGGTGATCTTCCATCCGAGGTTCAGTTGCTTTTAATTGGGTCTGCTTCAGTGGCAGTATCAAAAAACAAAACGAAACAAAAAAAACCCCTCTGCATCGAGCTGCAGTTCCTGTACTGAGTCTTGAGGTACTAAGGAATGGGAGTGTGTCCCTAGGTTTTCTCATCTCTATGCACTCTCTCATTTGTGAACACAGGCCAGAGGATGACTATTCAGTTTTTAAGCAGTGAAGTATTTCAAGGGCATGAAAAGTTGGCTCTTGTCACTACTTGCTTGATTTGTTATGGAAAGACAGTAATTTGCCTTGGATTTACTACTGGGCTTTCTGCTAAATCACAGGAACTTGAGAAGTTTGCTCTGTGCAAAGTTAACTTTGTTCTCTCCACTCAAACCCTAAATAATACATATGACAGGTTTATTAAGCAAATAAGTAAAGCTCCCAGGGCTGTGAATTCCATTTTCCACGAGAAATATCTGAAGCCAGTCACTTGCCAAACCGAAGAAGTCAGGTATTGCACTTCAGAGAAAAACAAATGATTGCTTTGTTTACATCAGGATGAAGGGGAGGAAAAATATTATCATCTCTGAGGGGAAAAATGATTATTGAAATGTGTTTGTCCTGCCAGTAAGGCAATTTAACTTGTTGTTCTTATGTTTAGGTGCTTTTTTCAGGTATTGCAGTAACAAGCACAACAGGCAGGTAGAAATGCAAACCCTTTAAATTCAGAAAAACTTCTTTTTTTTCCCTGTAACTGAAAGTTGTCTTGGATGGGATGTCTCATTGTACTTAAGTCAATCATTGCATTTTTAATATAATTATGTGTTCCATAATGCATATTTAGCTGTTCTGGGAGAATCGTAGAGCGGACGGGCCAGGATGTGTCCACTTGTAAATCTGGTGTAGCGTTTAGCTTTTGAGTGGCTAACAAATCTGTGCTAAGATAGCGCCTTTCCTTTTTAAGTGGATGGCTGGGCCTAGTTCTCGGTTAAATGATAGCTTGTGGGAGGAAAATCTCTTTATTTTAGACTTAAAGTCTTAATCTTTTAACAATTATCTCCTTGTTTCCTTTTGCATGAAGCTTTTCCAGTAATATTAGTATTTTGCTGTTGAAGCATCTTGCTGATAAATGAAGATCAAGTCTCAGGAAATGAGCTTTTAGACCCAACATATAAGTACTTAATAGAGCTAGCCTTTCATAGAAGTTTTGATGCATTATGGAAACCAGTGAAATCCTGCCTAAAAACTCAACAAGCTGAGAGGAAGTAGAAGATGGCGACAGCTTTCTCCTTCAGTAAGGACCATGTTGTTTTACTGGTCATTAGAAAATACCTTCCTGAACAACCTCCCTGAAACTGTGAGCAAAGTTTTATTCAAAATGAGTAGGAAAGCTAATAACCTCTGTGCCTAAAAGTTTTACTTTCCTATTCCTTTCTCAAGTGCTGATTAGGAACTCTGTTTTGTCCTTGAACCCCTGAGACTGTGTGGTTTTGGTTTTTTTTTTGCTTCTGAGGCACCTTTATTTTCTGAAATTTTGTTCAGGTACAGAAGAAATCTGTGTGTCTAGGAACAGCTAGATTATTTTCCCTGTTTGTGAAGAGCACTGTCAAGTCAGGAGCACTGGTTTCCTTAGTGATGCGAACAGTTGGTGGGTAGACTCAAACTGGAAGCATTTGTATGAACTTGTTGATGTCTTTGGCACAAAAAGAGTCTTGGATGTGAAATAGCCTCAGTTTTGTGAAAACATAATGTCCTCTGTTGTTTTTTTTGTTGTTTATCCGTAACTCCTTTAATATTTCAAAAAAACCCATAAAGGACTGACAGATTGCAAGTTACATCAAAGTAATTATTTACACTTTCATGCTTCTTTGTGCAGACATGAAACAATAAATATCCTTGAAGTCTCAGAAGTGACACTTATGCAGCGGGGGATTCACAATTTCTTCTGGGCTAGGGTTTGCTTCTCCTTGTAACTTTATGCTAATACGTGATATTCCTGCATTTGGTTTTAAATAAGCTCCAAGGAATGAACTGTGTCTAAAAAGCGGCATCTGCTGGAAGCCTCCTGTGTCTGGAGTTGACTGCGGGGCAGCGGGGAGCAGCTTTTTCTTTCAGGGCCTTTGGTGATCACTGAATTTTGGTGGGGCACACGGCTGCTTTCTTAGGTGACTTGCGGAAAGCACAGCTTCTACTCTGAAAACTCCTGGGCCAAGTCATTGTAGTGCTGTGGCTTTCTTCTCTGATCCATCCCAAATAACTGCGACAGTAGCTGCTTGTCACTCCAGCAGCTGTGTGTTAGGAACAAAATGGTTTGTTCCCTCTGTTTTGTGTTCTGCAGAGAGATGTCGTTATTGTGCAGTCATGAAACACTTGGGCTTAAATCCTGGAGTCCTCTTGCTCTCAGATGAGATTCAAACACCTTGCTTCTTAAAATGTTCTAGAGAATTTTATTGCCATGTTAGTAGAACAAATCTAGTGTGTTGTGGGTTCTTTCTTTTTAAATTTACTGTCCTAAATTACTGAAGGGTCAGAGTCTAGTGCAGGGTTACATGAATGCAAGAATTCATGTGTGGGCAAATACATCGGTTTAAAGTTTAGCAGGTCTGTGGCTGAACCATGCTGCAGTGTTTAAAACATGTTCTGGACTCTAAATGGTTGTAATTCACTGTCTTTAAACAGAGAGAACGTGAGCTCGAGGAAGGAGATGTTGGAATGAGCTTGACTCAAGAGAACGCTGGGAGGAAGGAGGAGGGTGAAAGAGAGATGGTAACCCCAGCTCTGAGAGAAGCGCTCACAAAACAAGGTGAGGTTCTGCAAAGACCAGATGGTTGGACCAGGCTTGGAAGTCTTAGTGGTAGACTTTTAACAGAGCAAGTGAAAGATGCTGTTCTTTAACCTAAAGATACTGCTTTGGACCCTCAGTCCTGGTAGGCTCTAGCCAGAGGCAGGACAGAGATTAGGCAGGGGCTCTTTGTACCCAATTGTTGTGGTGAAGAATCTAAAGCTTGTATTTGTGTCTCGGGGTGACACATGCTGTAATGTGTGGAGAGTGTATCGGACTTCACAGGGTTTAATGTGTCTGCTAAGGCAGCTTGAGAGAGAAGGTGATAGTCCCATGTGCCTCTAGCACCCAGAGTGTAGGTTTCTCAAAGAATATTAAAGATCAGCTTTGCATCTCTATTTTGCATCTTAGTCCCCCGCTTTTGTAATCAGTTTCACATTCTGATTTTGTTACTGAAATTGTATTTCCAGAAAAGGAAGTAGTTCAAAGTAACTTTAACAATCCATTAGGTGATTACATCAGTGGCTCTTCTATGAGCTGTAGTGAACAGTTTTAATGAACTTAACACCTTTTTTTAAAAACAAAGGACAAGCATGAGCAGAGCTGGACTGACAACCCTGTGGTTCAGAAGTCTCAGTTCTGAGTAGCAGAGCCAGGAGGAGGGTGATGTGAGCTTCCCTATGCTGCTCAGTTGGAGACTAATGGGAGTTTAGTCTAATTTCTTTTATCTCTTATGATGAGAGTGTGCTCGGTTTTCTTTCTTGCTAAATCGATAGTATCTCTCCTGATGCTTCTGAAAATGCACTTCTGGTTATTACAGGGGAGGCATCTTGCTACAGAGCTGGGACTCTGAAGTTTTAACCATGTCCTCTGTGAGTCTAGCAGCTGTGGGATCCCAACACCTTTGCTCCCCAGCATCTCAGCCATTCTTCTGCTTGAGCTTTTGTAGGTGGCTGGTGCTGTGTTCTGCCCATCAAGTATCTGACACTTTTGGTTGTTAGGTTTTTTTCATTATCCTTAGCACATCTATAGAATAAAGAGCCATTCTGTAAATTCATAGTCTGAAGGAATAAAGCAAAAGCTTAGCAAGGGGTGGCAGTGACTTTGCCACCTCTTCATGTCACAGAATTATCTCGGTTGGAAAAGCCCCTGAAGCTCCTCCAGTCCAACCATTAACCTCACACTGACTGTTCCCAGCTCCCCCAGATCGCTCAGCGCTGGGTCAGCCCCTCTTCAACCCCTCCAGGGATGGGGACTCCACCACTGTCCGTAGTGGTGCTGCTGCCAGCTGGGACCAGCAGGGGGATTGTAGGAGGCTGGTTCCATACATCTTCTCAGCTTTAATTCTGAAGGCTGTGATGTGGTGGCAGTTACACTGCCGCATGCAGCAGAACAGCTGGAGCACTGTTACAGCTTTCTTTTTTTTATTTATTCATTTTTTTTAGTTGCTGCTGTCTGTGATCCAGAAGTGTAATTGCTCTGCCTGCAAGGGAGTTTAGGGAACAGGGGGATTTGGTTAGCAGGCCTGGGGGACTGGGCTCTAGGAGATGCGACTGTCTAGAAATGAACTGTGAGGAGATAAAAGCATGATAGTTTGCTTCAAGTTCCCTATTCTGAGAGGTTAGAGGGGCTCCTGACTCCATGGAAGGGTGCACCGAGTCCCCCAGACATCTCAGTGTTTGCTTTGGGACACAGGAACCCAAGATGGGCTGTGGAGACTGCCTGTGGTACTGACTTCTGAGAGGGGGGCAGTGGGTGGTTCAGCGCACTGCCCTGGCTTTTTTGTGGTGCAGGGCTCTGTTGTGCTGTGGTGGTTGCAGGAGTGCTTCACCGTGGTTCACTTTCTGACCCAGTCTGTTTTGGTTTGGTTTTGGGGAGTGAATGAAGCTGTGCTGTAATACTAATATCTAAAAAGTGGTCATTTGGAAAGTGTAAACAGTGCTGGAGGGAAGGTCACCTTCCTACCATAATTTTTTGACACAAAAGCAAGCTCCTCAGAGAACTCAGGATTTCCTTGTGATTTTCCAGGGACAGGAATTCATTATGCAGATAAGTAGGTATGTATTTTCCCTTCCTTTGACATTCAGGGTAGTGCCAGCATTGGATCAACTAGTAGGATCTACTTACATAAATCTGCAGTTTCAAAGACTTAAAACTGCTATGTCTGTATCCCTTACAGTTAGCATTGTCTCTTGCTGACACAACCTTCCCCTCCTTTCCTCTGCTGCTCACCTAATTCTTTAATGGTCACTCAACAGTGAAGAAGAGGAGCCTTTCTTTTTTTCACGTCATATAACATTTTTTCTGCAAATAACACACCAAGACAGGCTTATGTGGCTATAAAAATAAAACAATTCCCTCCTTCCCTTGTTCCTGCCAAAAAATGTGCAATGTAGTCAAAAGAATGTAATTTATCTTGCAACCACTAGTTGCTTTGGGTGTAAGTTCAGTGTCTTTAAGATTATCCCTGAGGCATAATTAGCCCAAGAGAAGGAAAAAACAGTACTAGTGATTCAGGAGAAAGCTGTTTTTAAATTGTGGTTGTGTAACAGAAGTTTGCCTTTGACCAGCATCTCTTCAGACTGTTACAATGTTCACTCTTCATTTACCTTAAGTAAACTGAATATTGCTTAAACAATATGGGGTTTAGCACTGGCGTTGAATTTCAGCTAAATGTAGCCTCACCTACTGCGTTGTATAGTTGCCTGGCTGCAAATACCTTTATAAAAGATTCTCTGTAATAGTTGCTTTTTAAATTTGTAGGCAATCTTGTATTGTGGGAAAACGCTGATTCTCTTTCCATCAGTGTTCGGTCTTGCATAAAATACAAATACAGTGCAAACTACATAGTAACAAATATAGCAGGAGAGGCTGACAGTTGAAGTATTTGGCTGTGTTATATTTACAGTGGTACCATTTTGCTGTGTTAATGCTTTAATAATTTCATCTATTTAGGTAGATGTCATGAAATAACCTGAAAATAGATGCAAACTTTTCATGTTAATGTTTCCTGTGGTGATTAGTAGATACAGCATAACACTCACCTTTGCTTTTTGCTGTTGCTTGTACATTCTTGAAACAATCCCTTCTGGGCTGACAGGTTTGGTTTTTTTTTTGCTTGGCCTGGGTACCAGCAGGATTTTGCACATGGTGAATGAAGTCTGCCTTTCCAGAGCTCCTGATTTTTCAGGAAGTGGATTTAAATCCTCCTTTATCTTTAGAGGGAGTCTCACGCTGCTGTTTTTAATAGGAAAGGTGACTGTAAAAAAAACCCAGTGTGAATCCATGGGGGTTCCTACACTGTACCCTGTATCAACTGTACTTATTTTAAGAGTACAAAATATAGATAATTTTTTACATTTTCCTGCTGCTCTAAAGTCAGTACAGCAACAGCATAGACCTGTGCTCTGTTTGTGTTGTTAACCGTTGTTAATCTTAACCACTCCTTGATTTGCCATATGTTTTATTGATAGTGATGGTCAAATTAAGCCAAACTAACTGTCATGCTGAGTAAGAAGGCAAAGGGTGGCAGTTGGTGGAATCATCTTTTTACTGCAGCTGATTTCTTGAAATATTTGGAGGTCAAACATGATGTTGCACAGTGACAGCCAGCTTCATCATCCCTATCAAGTTAGTCCTATTTAGCAGTGCTTCAGGCCATCTTTGACGTGCTTCTCTTAAATGTGCAGGAATAAAACAGAGAAAAAACAAACTCAAAACCCTGAAGAGCTGATTGTTTGCTTAGGAGGTTCCAAGGACCTGGATTTGTTAAGCTGCTCATACCGTGAATTTTCAACATGCTCTTTGCTTTGTTCTTTTCTACTGTAGCATTAATACAACTGTGCTTCTCATGGGAATGGATTAATGAAACCCAGAGACTGACCCCACTAACACTGTATAGATTGTTCTGTTGTGTCTCTGCTACTACAGGTACAGTTTAGCTGCAGTCCAGTTGGATTGTTCTGTCTTACTGGTTAAGTGAGCCTACAATTTAGCACCAGGGTGTCCAGGATAACTCTTGCTGGTATCCAAAGGCAAGTGGTATTAGCAGACAGCTTGTGTCTGAAACAGTGGTTACTGAAGCAGCCCATACTTACTTCAATGTTTTGACTTCACAGTTGATATAAAGATGTATTTTGATCTATGTTTTTCAGCGTGTATGGGCAATCAAGAGGCTGACTTAAGCCCAGTCTTTCAAGATTTTTCTTTTCAAGTGCTTACCAGCCTTGTTTTAAAAAGTACTTGGTGGCCTTTACTGTCCATTCTTGGACTGGGGTTTCCAGTGCCTGCAGCTCTGAGCTCTTCTGACAATCTCAGCTTGGCTCGCTGTGCTGAGCTTTTTGAGCGCCCAGACTTCAGCAATGAGCTCCACTGTGCAGAGATACTGCACAGAGATCGGTACTGCTGGATGTCTACTCTTACAGGCTGTGTGCTGAAATGTTTGCATGCGTCTCTGGGATTCAGTGTGCTTTATGTATAGCTATTAAACTCCAGGTGGCACTAGCAACTCACAGCTGGGCCAGGGATTACTTACACTGGTGCATTCCCTGAAACCACAGAATCCAGATACTGGCCATGGCAAGATTAAAATTTAGTTTGCAAAATAGCAAATGATTTTTAGTAATCAGAACAAATACAACAACTGAAACCAGGTAAAGTTAAGCCTACTAAGCTTTCTTGCAGTTCCTTAGAAAATATCTGTGTAAATAAACAGTGAATACACAGTTAAAGGGGAAGAATCCAAGAAGCAGAAGATGAAGTCCCACAGTGTGGAAGCTGCCAAGAGCTGCTGGTGAGCTGACTGCAGTACTAATTTGCTGGCACAGATGTAGTGGCTTATCAGGAGCAGAGTAGATGATGAAAGTTTGGATTTGCAGGCCTGATTCTTCCCTCGTGTAGTTACTGGAGCTGGTAGAATTACCCCATGTATAGAGAGGAAAACAAGCATAAATATATTTATATTTGAAGTGCATCCTTTTTTTTTTAGTTTCAGAAGGACTTTGTGAGAGTGTTGGTCTTTG